CCTTTTTTTGGGGGGGGGGGGGGGGGATTTAGAGGGCATTCTGTTCCGGGAAGAAATCATTAGGAATATGATCAATGGATCATTTGTGAGCAATGATCTGATGGGTTTCCAAATTGAATGGGCATCGAAGCGGTCTTAACCGAAATTGGTCCGAATATCAATTCTGTACACCTGATTGATTACATGTAATAATTTTTAATTTTTTTTTATTTTTATTTTTTTTTCCAGTCGTGTGCGACGGCGGCGATGTATCCGTTCTATTACGTGCACCGGGGGGATGAGATCGTGGACGTGTGGGAGCCGATTCGAGGCTGGGAGTGAGGGAATCGGGCACGCAATCAAGCCACCTTATCTGCCCTGCATGCTCCGTGATTGAGGGCGGGGAAATGGAGGGGAAAATGAGGGGAATTGCTGTGATTTGGGGGAAGAGAGAAAAAAAAATTGGGAGAAGCCTCTCCGGCGTCAATTGAATTTCGTTGTCTGAGATTAGCGGCGGGGAATCAATCTCGGGCGTAGTCGCAAATTCCCCCGAATTCCCAGGGATTCCCCCGGGGGATTTGGGGGCCCGCTCTTGTTTGCTGACTTTTTCTTCGGGAAATCCTGACCTTTTATCTCGGAGATGGGCCGAGATTATCGTCATCATCGTCGTCGTCAGCGATTGGATTCTGTCCTCGGGTCATTATCCCGGATTCGCTCTGCGATCTGGAAAGAGGAGAGAGCTGGGAGAAAAAAAAAAAGGAAGAAAGAGAATGGGCTATTTTTCTCCCCCTCTTCCAAGATCGTTAGTTTCCCGCCGATGGATGTAGGGCATGCATGGAACCCTCCCGAAAACGAGAGTATAAGCCATGAAAACGAGCAGAGAGCATCTTGATTTACAGCCTCAGAATTCGTTCTGAGTTGACAGTCCGGTATCACAGACATCTCGGATATTGCACAAGCAAGAATTATTATTTGCGTCGCAATAAAATGCATCGAATATGCGACGAACATACGCATCGAATACGCGCCGTCGCGAAGGAGTCCCGCGGGCAGCACCGCCGTGAATGAGAATGCAGACCGCGGGAGCACGCCCGTCGGCGTCTCGAGGGAACGCGCATGCGCAACGCCCAAATGAGACCCAAAGTAACAGTGCGCATGCGCGGAACTTTCCTTTCCACCCCCTTGTATAAATGAGGAGGATGCGGCACGAGTTCACCCCCCTCATTGCGGTCCTGCACTGTCGGACACGCGCGCTCTTGTCTCGGTCTTCACTTCGTGGTGAGTGCGTCTGACCTTTTTCCTTTGCATGTTTACGGCCGAGGTTTACGGAACGGAAACTTTTCTCGACGACTCGTTTTCTTCCCTCGACTGCGTTCTGCTGAGTAGTATCCCCGGTTTCCTCCAAGCTTTGCGGTTCAAACGCATCGTGTGTGGTATTTTACGGTCATAATTTTATCTGATGGGGAATAGAATGTTGATTGAGCCTCGCTAAAAGAGCCATTTCCAGTCGAGAAAGCAACAACTGCTGCTGGGGAAAGATACAAAAAAAAGTCAAATTGGACTGGAAAGGATTACGGATGAGAATGTGCCTGAAAATGAACCGCCTCCGCATTTTCTTTATCGCATGCGGCCGAAGGAATCACGGGACAATTGAAAGCAGTAATCCGATGACATTTTCGGTAGTATTTCGCTCCGCTACAAAATAATGAAAGCGTTTACATTTCCTCTGGGGATACCGATTTTTCTCCTTTTATCGTGACCCCAATCGTTTCACGAGCCGCTTGTGTGTAACCCTGTAGTTTCGCCGAAGAACGCAGACACCCGAATTCCAACTAAACTAGGAATGGGATGGAAGCGGTCGAGGCACTCAGGATGTATGAAAAAAGTTCGAAGGTTAAGAGTCTATTGAAATATCCCATTTCTCCGGACTTCCGATCTCCTCTCTTCTGGTGACCCTTCCATTTCTTCTCGAGTTCCATTTCGGCGACCTTTCCGCCCTCCCATTCGCATTACGAACATGGAAACGGTCGTTCCACAGTGCGGACGCTTGCTCGTTCCCATTGGTATTTTTTGCGCGACAGGAACACTCCGAAGTTTATGTCCCCTGTCTCGTAGGATGTCCCCTGTCCTGTTGTGTACCCTCGATCTCATCTGAGACAGTCTCTTGGGGTCGTCCGCGATGCTTCTCCTGTCCCTTCGTCTCCTCTTCTCGTGGAAGACTCCGACGGGAATTTCATGGTCTCTCTGTTTACTTTGTGTACGAAGGACGTTGTGACTCTCTCGTTCCGTCTGCTCATACATCTATTCATTCCATTTCATTCCATATGCATACGAGGCTAATTTATCCGTGTGTCATTCCGGCAAACTCATCCTAGACGGGTGAACGGATTTTCATGAGTGAGATTTCAATCGAAAGCTTATGTACTGCGGCGATACTTGTTGTGTCCAAAGTCCAGAAAGCCTAATCATTTTGACCACAATTATATATAAGCAAATATGGCCAGATTTCGGCGATCAGAATAGCATTGTACCGAACACTTTCCTGGACAAAGTGCCCCCAACCAACAATGAGAGTACGAGGCATTGTTGGCCGCAGACGTTGTTGCTATAGCAACTGTTAGCAATGATTTTCATGTCAGTCTTTTCGTGTTACAAATCCCGTCGCCGGTTTACCACAATGCCTCATGTAGGTCTGCAGCATTCTCTAAGTGCTCTACATTACTATTTTAAATGTTGGTGTTGCTTTCAAAATGCCACTGAAAAGGCAGGAAAAATTTAAAAACTATTCTTCGGCACGATCTACTGAACGCAAGAGAAAGATAGACGTTCCGAAGAAAGCAGAACGGCATGCACAGAATGTTTTAATTCGACTTGTTTCGCGCCGTGCGTGCACGAGCTTTTGCACTAGAATTTCATAAGCGGTTTGACCATCTCCTAGGAATTCGTAGGAAATGTTTCGAGCCAGTCCCATCAAACTTCGGATTTTCAAGTCGATCCATGGGCTTCAGGGTGCAAGGCGCCCATCGCATCCGCAAGATTCCCGCCGATCTTTTGGGAATCGGCTCAAATTATGAATCGGTACCAGCTTCTTATTTGGTACCTGATCCCTCGCTTTTTATCTTTTCACTTTCTCATCTCTCTGCTCCCTCGAGGTGCCACATGCCAGTTCCCATGAAGCCCAGTTTGTCCTACTGATTTACTTTTCTCCATGCACACTTGTCTGCACGCATCCACACACGTTCGAATGCAAGGGAACGCAGGGAAAAGGAACGCGGGTTCCCAAGTGAAGAGGAAACGCAACCATCGCATCTTCAATTTAGTTCTGTCGGACTCCCAGACACCGGCACGCATTCAATTTTCATCCGTGCTTATTTTTTGCATGAGCGGCACGTGAACTGTGAACGGCTTTGAGACCCTTTAGGTGATGCTGCTTGTATGAATTTGTAATCGAGTGGCGAAGCGCAGAAAGAAGTCATTTGGCAGTATTCCGGCTCCTACATTTTTCATCGGAATTTCTCCTGGTAAAAGCATTCTGATTTCGAAATTACATTTCAATGGAAGCGATTCCTTCAACGCACTTCGGAAAAGTTGCATAGGTAGTGCATAAACTGCATCATGGCGTTCCAATCTGCACCCAAAAAATATGCTGAATTCAAACGGAAAGATTGGCAATCCCCCGGACATTTTTCTGTGTTCATTCTGATCATCGGGGATCCTCTTAGACCTTATTGGCCCAGAATCAGAAAATCGATTTGACGATCCCCAAAGAAGCTTGTTCTTGGCAGAAATAGTCTCTAATGACATATTGTCGTCGGAAGTGTCGCTGGGGCGGATATGGTATGTATATACATATATGATTATAAGGCTGGTAAGGAAAAGATAAGAGAGATGACGGCAGGGTCTGACGGCTGGTTCGTCTTCATCCATCACGGTCGTTGACCCGCTTCTTATGTACGTGCCCTATCTCTTATTTCGTAAGCACTGTTCATCATGGGACGGAGGGGGGTCCTTAATGTGCAGCTGTCTCGATAGAGCCGTTGTGGATTATCTGCAGCGGTGCTGATGAGAACGGCTTTTATCGACCTGAAGAGTTTTTTTTAATTTAAGGAAGAGTCGTTGAAAAGAAGGGGGATGAGCGAAAGCTGGCTTTGTCGACGCAGAAAGGTTCCTTTGAAGGAAAGAAATCGGCATTACATTCGCCCATTCACGTTTCGCCGACTCATTAAGGCGGATAAGGCGAAAGCCGAGCTCATCAGGATTTCTCAGTAGACGAATAGGGGAACAAATTCCCTATATATCTCTGTGAGGGTCTTGCTGTCTCAAGTCATCTCCGTGTAATCCGAATCCCTTCTCCAATTCATTAGCAGCAGACTTTCTGCTCGATTAGGCCCTGAACGTAATTTAGTACTTGGTGCCAAATTATCGCCGAGGGATGTTCTGGCGATATATTAGGAGTTTCGTGTCTCGGGCCAAAATTCCCTCTTGGGACATTCGTCCCCTGTCAGCCCGTCATTTTCCCTCGTTTGAGAGATGGAGACGTTTCCAGGAACCGCGGAAGGGGACGATGAAATATAATGGTGCGACGGGGAAATGGAGGTATAATGGGGTTAACGTCAGCGGGGAACAGATGGCCTTAGATGGCCTCGACGAGTTTCACTCCATTTTTCTAAATATCCCTTCGTTTCTTCCCCCGATTCCGTAAATCAGGCCTTTTATAAATCGCACTTTCTTCACACTCGGGCCATTATATATAGCCCCCAACTACCATACCGAGACCATAAATTCCTTTAATGCTGTTTAATCGATAGACGGTGTCTGACCTTCCCCGTGCTTTCCCAATCGTCCCCCTTTCATTCTGAGGCAAAAGGACTTGGTAAATTAATTTTCCTGACGATGTTTTGTTGCAGTACTGGGGTATCGCATACGTCATGATAGTAATTAAATAATTTTTTTTAACGGAAAATAATTCACAAATTTGGCGGTATCTTAGACTACTAGCGTTCAAATATCCTTCACTCACCTATTGCAAACGGTACCATTTTACTAATATCCAACGCAGAAAAATCCTTGAGGGGGGGGGGGGGGGGCGGGGACTTTGTGNNGGGGGGGGGGGGGGGGGGGGGGGGGGGGGGGGCCGGGAACTTAGTGATTCTGCTTGGGAATGCTCTTGCCAGGGGGCACATGACAATTAGAGACCTTAAAACAATTTAGAACCGAGAGGAACGGCAACAAGCGTGAACAAAAATAGGTCAACCCGAGGAAAATATACAGGAAAACAGAAAAAAGCGCCAAACCTTCATAAACATATAATCGGTCATAGATCTGTCAGGATTACCGATGAAACCTAACCTATTTGCCATCGAGCTGAGTGAACAGTACTTAAATTCAGAGAAGGATACATTTCTCATTAAAAACTTGTAATACTTATGGAAAATGTAATGTGGAAAAAATTGTCGCGCCCCATGTGAGACTGTGAAGAGCAATCACCAGACCTTTCAAAATACCGCACCCTTTTCAAAATTCCAAACCCATTCAAAATTCGGAGTCCGTTTAAAATTCGGAGCCCTTTTAAAATTCGGAGCCCTTTTAAAATTCGGAGTCCTTTGAAAGTCTCGTTGCATTGCGGGTCTCTAGGGACATAACGCCCTGAGTGCCAGTCGATGTTCAGGAGACAATTCCGGGGACTCACGAGAAAGAATCCAATTGAATGAGCGCCGAGGAACTGGCGAAATCGCGGCGGATAAGGGAGTGATGTCTCTGTTGATTTAGGAATTATGTCTTTATCGATGGGAAGGGACGAGGAAGCACAGCCTGCAGAGCGGGTCGCGAGGGGGGGACGAGGGGCCCAGCGGGCCTCATTACCTGCGGGGTGCAGGCCCTCGTCACCTGCAGGCTTCAGGCCCTCGTCATCGCACAATGGACTGCGTGGGGCTTCCACATTGATAATCCGCTTCTCGCGGGCGAAGACGGCCTGGGGAATCCGAGAAGCCGCATCTTGTCGGAATGAGAGGGGAAAGGCGGGGGAGACGCTGGATGAATTTTCATGAAGTGTCCCTTCGTGTCCTCGGCTGTTGCCGGCTCTCCTCGTGATTCTCTTGCCTTCTTCTCCTTTCTTCCTTCAATTATCCTGAAGGCCTCTTTCTCCTTGGCTGGGTCTTTCCCCGGCGGCTGCTGAGAAATTTCGGATTTGCATTGCATCAGGTCTTGGGAAAAGGACATCGTGAATATTTATGAAGTATTTCATTTTAAGAATGACTCACTCAGCAACAGATTTCCGGGGGAAAAAAGGCAAATCAGATTCGCGTACATCAAGAGCCCAATAATGAAATTGGAAGGGGTGCCAATAGGAAAGTTTCCCGCCCGTGATTTCCTCCTCGTTCACGGCAATCGTTTCCCAAGTTCTGCCCAGGTCCATGAAATATGTAAAGAAAAGCGAGCCTCGATAGGTCCCAGGAGTTGGAGCATGAGAGGGATAGGAAAACTTGCCAATCCTACAAAAGAGCGGGATAAAGAGAATGGAAAGAGGAGGGCGAAGAAGGGCGAAGGAGGGCGAGGTTAGGGAGTGTGGGAGAAGGCAATTAGGAGAGGGAGGGGTCAACCCCCTTGGGAGCACCAAACTCATAATCCCCGAGTTTTCTCTTCCGCCCTCTTTCTTGTCTCAAGAAAAGGAAAAGCTGTTTTCCCGCCCAACTTTTCGTCCTTGCTTCAATCGGTCGCGCTTCGTCGTTCCAGCAAAAATGGGGCGGAGATGGCTAATTTTCCCATCCCCGAGATATATTGTGTCGTATAAAACCTTCTGAGACGGGAGGAAGACGAATGAGCCCAGACTGGACGCGTCGAATGGGACGCCCTCTTCCATAATGGATTGAAAAAATTCCCCCATCCCATGTGAGGAAAAAGTCTTGATCAGATAGCCCTTTTTTTTTGCTAGAGCCAATATGGAAGATGCGGTTTGGACGAGGGGGTATATCCCTGATTACCCTTGGGGCTCCCTCCCAGATCTTCCCTTATTTAGTCCCTTGGGACAGGTTATCCTTGGGGAAACCAGAGCATTTAACATGATTATGACTCGGTTGCTTTCCCGGCTTCCCAGCGTCCCGATGGGACCCGCCTCGATCGTCGTGCGCAAAATCGGGAAGGCGAATTTGCTTTTCTCCGAGTTTTCTCTGAGTTGGATGGGCCGAGGTGGGTGTCGCATGGGTTTTTCTTTCTGCGCAATATGGGCTATTCTGGGATTCCGAGGATAATAACACCGGCCGGCTGGTCATGATCTGGTCGAATGTTTTCTCGGGATCTTCGTTCAAACACAATGTTTCCCTTCACCGCCCGCTGAAACAAGAGGAATGCAATATAACCCTCTCCTCTCATCGGTCTCTTGTAATCAAAATAAGCCTCTTATTGATGCGAGAGGGAATCTCCCATGGAACATGGAACGGGAACTGCGCCCCGTATTTTTGGCAAAAAAAAAGGAAAATCGCTCCAGTTGCAATCCTTCTTTGAAAAGATATGCTGTCACACATGATGCGTGTCTGTCCTGATAGAAATCGGGAAGATTGCACGGAAACCTCTTCTTTTTTTTTTCTCCAAACAAACGAGACTAAAAAAAAGAGCTCCCTGGGTTTTGTAACCGCGGGACGTCGGTCGATGCACGCTTTCCCGCTGGGGAAGCAACATCATCTGACCTTTGGAATGAGGCTAATTCCTCCTCCGCGACATCCTCTCAGGGCCCCTTCCCTCCTTCCGGGCAAAATGCATTATGATGGGATGGATGAAACCCATCAACTCCTCCCGAGCGATACCCTCCCGATGTATTTCTGCCGTGGAGATGGGGTCTTTGTCTCCCGGTCTGACAGGCTTCTGCCATAGATCCATCACGGGAAAAGAAAGATAAAAACAAACCTCTGCAGATAGAGAAGAGCATGCTCCATGCAGTACTCAACGAACCGAATATTTTCGAATGGCTTTTCGGAAACGGGAAGATATAGGTCGACTATTAGGAGGGAAAAAAAGAGAGATGTTACCGGAAAAATAAGGGGGCGACATGTAAAGTAAGGAGACAGCATGGAAAAATGAGGAGACGGCGCAAATGTCCTTCATTAAGTTGCACGATCTCTGCAGGTATTTGCATGTCTTGCGGTATCGATCTTCAGGTAAATAATGCAGGAGATTCATTTCCTCCCTCCGGAGCGAGAGGAGGGGGGATCCGAAGAAGCTCAATTTTCTGCTCGGTCGGAGGACTTCCCAGCTCGTGTTTCCACTCGGGAGAGGAAAAGGGACCTGGTCAATAGGTTCTCTCCCTGATGAAAGAAGAGGGGGGGGGGGAGGTGAGGGAAATGTGTTGACAGAGGAGACGAGAAAATTGGACCGGATCTCTTGATTACTCTTAATAAAAAGAAAAAAAAGAATTTCTAGGAAAGAGATTCTTCGGATCCCACGCACAATGGGTTTTCTCCCTTCATCAGGATCCTTGGAGACAGACAGCTGGGGATCTCCTCAATAGGAATAAACACGTCAGCTGCTGCCAAAAGGGGAGGGGACTCCATTTGTTTGAGGCTCCTCCAGGGACGCCCGAAAAGGGAAAACCTCAGCTCTTCCCCCATGGGGTTTCCTTGCTTTTAGTTCCTAATTCATGCGCTCAATTTCTTTTCTCGTTCCTCCCTGGGAACGCCTGGGCACGTTCGCCCCATGTATAAACTCATATCCAGCGCATGATGAAAAATTTCCGGGAATAGACTCGCGAGGGCGGAAATAATTCCTCCTGAATCAACTCCTCCTCGTCAAACGACGAGAAGGAGGGAAAAGGGGAGAAAACTCGGAAAACGCATTAGGATCCATGCATAAAAACACGGATGCCAGCACTCAATCGGATAAAACTGGAGATTGATTTCCTCTCTGAGAGATTCCCGAGAGCGAAGACGGATAACTCCTGATGCTTCTTCCCTCTTTTCATCCCTTTCAAAGTGTCAAACTCCATACTTTTCTCGGAAGTAATCCAATCAAAACTCATGGAAAGCGAGGCATCATGCCTGATACCTCGTGCTTCGTGCCTGATCTGGTGCCCTATTTACTCCTCGTGCCTGATCTCGTGCCTGATGCTCTCCTGATCTATCCCTCGTGCCTGATATGGTACAATTACCTCATTTGTTCCTCGTGGGGTTTGCAGGTCTCACATGCTCGGATAATGAGATTTTAGCATGAGGATCGTAATGACGATGCTCAGACATGAACCCTTCGCCTCGCTGGGCCCGATATGCGTTCCTAGAAATTCTGATCACGAATTCCTGACTTAATGGGAAGCCCACGCAGTTCATTCCAGGCCTCGCATAATGAAGCTTTACAGGATCGAGAAATGCGAAGCCGTCGAAGCCCCGGGAGGAGCCCGACGGAAGAGTTTTTTCGGCTCGGAAATCGTTTGTGACGCTAATGTTCCTGCTTCTGTAGCCCTTCGATTTTTTTTTACCCTCTTCCTACCATGATGACGAGAAACAAAGGGAATCGTTAAGTAGATGATCGATGTCAGATGCTCGGGCAGAAAGGCAGACTGTAAAAAAATTCATTCTGCTACCATTTGTCACGTAACGACTTATCGCGAGCCGACTGATGATTCCCAATCGCGACGTTGCAAAATGAACCCTGAGAATCCCTGGGAATTCCCGGGAATCCTGAATAAAATTCGGGTCGAACTAATGGGAGCAGAGAATTAACGAGTGTTGACATTCCCAGGCCAAAATAGCGTAAATAAGGATCCCTCCTCTTTTTTTTTTCCAGGTAGAGACTATTTTCCCTCGGAGAAGAGCCTCTTTCGACGCTGCACGTGAGAGGAAGTGAGAAGTGACAGCCTGTTTATAACTGGGGGGGAGCAGACGAGAGGAAGAAAGAAGAAAAGGGATTTGAATGAAGGAGAGACTCGTGACATGGGGGATCGGCTGAGCCCGTCTTACGTGCAGCGGCCGCGTCGGATGTCGCTCAGCCCGTACATGTCCAATGGGCGACCCGCCGAGGCAGGTCGGTTCGAGTCGTCCTTGTCGACTGTTTTCCTCGATTCTTTCTTCGCGTCTCGGTTGCCGGATTAGTTTCCTTCTATCGCCTTCCTTCCTTTTCACGGTCTGTCTTGGAAATTGTAATTCTCGTTTTCATGCTAAATCTGAAGAATGCACTTCGCTCCCTCGAACGCTGAAAGTCATCTCGTGTTCATGAGAGCGGAACAGCCTTTGAAAGGCATGCCGTCTTCCAAACGTTTCGCAGGCGAGTCGCCGAGCAGCCACGAGTCCGACGTGGAAACATGCGACATGGACTACTCCAGACGCCCCTCGGCACAGAGCGAGCGAATCAAGCAGCGAAGCGGGCCGGAACTCAGCGGGGACCGACTGGAAGCGAAGAAGAACATCTTCTACCACCGCCGCTACTCCACGGTGGCCGGGGAGGGAATGGAACCGGACCCGCTCGGCGGCGGGTACAGGCGGTCGTCCCGGGTCAGCGCGGGAGACTCTGAGGAGGTCACCGCGGTCCCCGTCCCGCTCGTGCCCCTGGCTTCCAAGGAGTTCCCGCGGGACATCCCGCGGGACTTCGCTCCGCTCCCCGGGGACCGGCGGAGGAAGAAGGTCGGGATGGTCGTCGCCATCGTCGCCGTCGGCATCGTCATCCTCGCCGTCCTCCTCGTCGCCGTCACCCTTCGTCTTTCTCCCAACATCGACGAGATGGGTATGTCCGTCCCTTCCTTCATGGTTCAAGCGTTTACACATTTCGTCCAGTATTTATTTCGGCGGGAAAAAAGTAACTTTTATTTTTTATTCACGTGAATTCAATCAGTCTTGCTACTTTGGGTTTCTCTCATATTTTGCCGCCTTCCTTCGTAAGGTTTCTATTTTCTTCCGATTTTCGAAAAGGAATCGGATGGAATGTTTGAACGCTTTGACAAAGACCCTTGTGTAAGCCCCGTGCTGCTTGCGTGTCGGATGAAGACGATGACCGCGGTCTCGGTGCAAACAAAGCCATCAATCAAGAAATAGAGATAAAATTTTCCCTCGAAAGTTTGCTAACGACCGGGGAGTCGGGGGGGGGGGGGATGGAAAGAAACGTCTCGGCCAAAATAAACCAGGTGTTTCGGCCGAGACGTCTGGTTGCTTTCTCTGTATACGCTTCTCATACGCAGGTTTTCATATAAACCATTTCGCCTTCACACGAGGTCCTCCATACGAGGTCCTCCATGCGAGGTCCTCCATGCGAGGTCCTCATTCCGAACCTTTCGCGACCTGTTTGACTTGCAAGGAACCGCGTCTGTTCGGATCTCAAGCGTCAGTGTGGGGAAACGGAAACAAGATTCCGCTCGCGGGGATTCGCGGACCCGGTGGAATTTCTTTCAAGGCCTTTCAATTCCTTTCGCGTGGGTTTCGCAGGCCTGTTGAGGATTTTTTCATGAGCTTGCGTGTGTTTTGCCCGTAAATCTTGGAAGGGGGTGGGGAAATGTGACACACCTGTGTAGCTCCTGTGAAACATGTGTGGAGCGAGTTCGCTTCTCTCTTTTCCCAGATGATTCACGTGCGATCCGCACGAGATCTGAATTTTTCTAAAGGGCGGGTCCACTGTATGCCCCGATGTCGAGACGGCTGTTGACGGATCCCATACATGTTTAAGCCGTTTCAGCTGCGTGAGCAATTGGGGTCCCCTGTCCCTTGTCCCCTGCACGTGACAGGGGATGGGGGTGGCCATCCCGGACGGCTGTCAGGGACAGCCGGTCCAACGGGATCATTTTTTAAATATTATATATTTCCTCGGTTTGTGCGCGGAATGTTGCCGACGGGCCGCTAAATGAAAGTCGCGACGGCGTTCGTCGAGAGAGAAAATTCATTCCGAGAAGGCAAACAGGGAAGCGGGGATGAGGACGAACCGGAGCAAACACGATTTCCCTCTTCTCAACATTGGAGTTTGCACAAAAATTGATCGAAAGGCAAGCCATAAAATTCGAATGTCAACGGTCTGTCTGACCTCGTTTAATTTACTCAGGGAAATGAAAATGGGTAAGGGGGAGTAAGAGGGGGCAGGGTAAGGGGGGCGAAGTATGGGTGGGCGGGGGGGGCTAAATAGCACGCGTGACTTGGCATGGAACTGAAGCTTGCCTTTGATCATGACTTCCGGGACGGGAAATGGACTCTAGACCTTTTTCTGTTAGAGAAAAGGAAGAGGTATGAGGGAGAGATAAAGGGATATTCCGTGACTCACGCTCCCTCTCCCGATACCCCGATATCATATAAAGAATGTATTGAAGAGCTATCGATTTCCTTTCTGTCGGCTGCCCCGTTGTCGAGCGCCTCGTCAGGGGAAAAAAATGGAAAGGGGCGAAGAAGGGGGATAGAAGGGGCATAGAAGGGGCATAGACGGGGCATAGATGGTCGGGCGCGCTGGAGGCCATATACGAAATTGCATCTCCTGTTTTCATTCGGGAATTTTCCTCTTGGGAACAAACATTTTTTTCAAGGACTTCTAATTCCGCATTAATGAAGAAAGATGAAGCCGCATCTGCGAAGTTCATTTCAAACTCGGGATTCAGTCTTCTTCCTTCACTGCAAAGATATAAGAATAAAATATAAAAATAAGTATAAAACTTAGTTCACAGTCGTGAAACCCTGAAATAAATTATTCCACCGTCGAAATCGCCAGCAGGAAATTCCTGTCGTTCGCTCCGTGCCGCTTCGAAGGCTGTGGGGATTTTCCATCAACCGCTGGGCCGATTGCTTTCATTGGTCATTTCGCTATTTTCATTTTACTTATGATGGTATAATGATGATAGCATCATTTATATTTTTATTATCATCATAATAATCTCTAAGAGAAATTTGCTGACCCACTCAGTGCAATTCTCAAGTGGGACCGTAGAACGGCAGAGACGGACGGTTCGTGCTCGAGTGCTCCTCTGGGTACATGTTCCGGTAGGGGAGCGCCATTACGGAGGGGGGGACTGGGGGGGGGGAGGGGAGAGGAGGGGGCTGGGGGGGAGCGTCTAACGTGCACTTCTCCATCGATCATTCATCGGGAATCGGGGGCCGAGATAACAATGCCAGTCTCTCCAGTCGAGGAGAGGAGAAAAAACTTGCTCACTTGGATTCGAAGGGGAGATACTGCGGTGGTGAGTAACCGCGAGGTTTGGAATGTCCGCGAGGTTCGGGATGTCCGCGAGGTTCAAAATGTCCGCGAGGTTCGAGGAGTCCGTGGGGGTCGAGGGTCTGCTGTGTTTGCTTTGGCGGATCCGCGTCTGTCAGTTTCCCCATTTTTGTTGGCTGGCGTTTGCATTGAAACTATGCCGCACAGCGGGCTTTTATTGCGTGTCAGCGGCAAAAAATGTTTCTTCTGCCAGTCCGACTCCATCCAGGCGTGAGGCGCGTGAAGTCGCTTCACGCCCACGCGTCGAGTGGGCGTGAGGAAACGGAGGACAAAGAAGCAAGCATCGACTTTTAAAAAAAAGTATCACTAAAAATTAAAAATAATTCCACGACCGCCATTTCGACCAGACTCATCACAGCGTGGAGAAACAGTGTAAACAGGGGGAATCCCTGGTTCCGGAGGCCGTAATGAGACTCGTAATGGCCACTTGAAAACTTCGAGACAATGGTGCCATTCAGGCGCTCTCTCGGGATGAATGGCGATTTTAATTGCACGAGTTTCCTCGTTTGTTTCTGGGAAACACTCGCGTGACGTCATTCAAAGTTCTCAGAGGGCTATAAAAAAAAAAGGTTTTCACTTGTCCGAGAACAAACTTTAAAATTATAAACTTCCGCTGTGACACAAATAGCTCGAGATCGTCACAAGTGACAATTAGTGATATTTCCTTGGCCTGCACTCGCCGAGAAGCGAGGCCAGCGAGGGCGACGTCTCGACTATTAGCCAACGAAGCCGATAGTGGGCCGACGAAATCGATTGTTAAGATCCACAGCTATTGAGCGTAGGCGGAAGCGGATGATTAAGTCTGGTATCAAATCAGGGAAATTAACACCGGCTCGCCGAGCTATTGATAGAAAATGAGAAGAGAATACTAAAAAAGCGAAGGATAGCTAAGGAGGCCTAATGGACTGGCAAGTCGTAGGAGTCTCGTCAGGGGCACGATCCTACCAAACAACTTGCAGTGTAGTAAAACCCTTTTCGACATCTCCACACCAGGGAATGATCATTAAGGAAGAGGACAGTGGCTGCCGCAACAGGAGTAACAAAAAGCTTCCACAGCTTAAGTCTGTCCTACATGCACCGCTCCTGCACAGTCCATTAGCTGGACGAGGTTCACACCTTGTATTGTATTGTATATATATAGATACTGTATATTAGATAGCGTTATGCTGTTATTTGGTTTAGGTTTCGATCGTGGGTCTCACAAAAGGGTGGGGTGGAGCACGAGGGCTAAAACCCAAGAAATTGTTTTAAATATTGAATGTATCTATTAAAAATTTATTTGTGAGTTTTATTTGCATGCTATGGTATATATGGAGTTATTGTGAAGGTATCATAAACAGTGGAATTCGTACTTGAATGGTTTTAGTTGATATTGATGATACGAAAGATAATAGAAATTGTAATTTATGCGAAAACAACCTCTAAAAGTCTCGTGAAATAATATTTTCTATAACTGGAGCCACGGGGAGTGTTTTTTTATTTGCAGCACATTGCCTATGCTGATTTAAATGACGCCCTTGCTTTCAGTTTGAACCGATGCGTGAGAAAGCGCCCCCCACCCCACGATATTCCCGACTGGCGGAATTCATAAAGGTTCATTTGTCGTCCGCGATTGGGTGATGCTTGGGTAATGTTGGGTAACACAGGACAATCGATAAATCATCGCGAGCGACGCTCATCGGGATACCTGTCTCGTTGTTTTATGGTCCATTTATATTCCGAGACATTCACGAGAAACACCTTTTTTTTAATAATGGAAGGCAAGTTCTGGAATCTAGGATTCTTACATCATACGATGACGATGTACTGCACTTTAACATTGTGCCGATTTTGCATTCCAAGGTCATTCGGTTCGAGAAACCAGTCGAACGAAACCCGTCCTCGTCCCCGAAATGAAAAATCCTTCCCTCACAACCTACGTGCTGGTGTGACGCACAAAACTAAAAACAAGTGAGACCGGAATTATCGTCGGGCATGGAAATTTTTTTCTCACACATTCTTGTCGAACCGTGCATTTCGTAACCTGGTAGATACTGGGCCTAGTCAATTAGTGCACGGAAAGAAACCGGCTTTAGGGCGGGCAGGTTCGTTAAGACCGAGATGCGACTCGTTGCAATATGAAAACGAGACCTTGATGGATACAAAATAGTGTAGGATTATGCAATACCTGTATAAAACCCAGGGAACTCCAGGGTGTGACCCCGGTTATCGGTGAGACTCCCTCCCCGAACGTTTATGAATCATGAAGTTACTCTTTTCGGTTCTGTGTCTCTCTCTGGCGTGGAATTCTTCCACTGCCAAGCTTCTCTACAAGTTCCCCTCTTCCTACTTTGAACTCGATGCCGGCGTGAGTTTCCATTTCGTACATCTCACTCGGACTTCGGTACATCCATTTCGATATTTATCATTGATCGTTTCATATTCCTCTGGTGTTTTTTTTGTCGTTGCGACTTCTGCTTTTTACCGTGGCTTTTTATTTTCGACTCGCGGGTGTCGTCGTGCAGCTTTCGAGGTGATCGTAGGCAAACGCTCGAGACCTTTTAGTTCGAACGACAGGTCGTATGGGGTAACACGACGGTGGGATTTTGGCTCTCGGAAGCTTTCGGTTCCGCGATTCGAAATATTTCGTCGTCACTCTTCGTTTCTTTCTCTGGTCGGATTTCCCTGGCTCGGTTTTCTTCCTTCTTCCGTTTCCTCGTTCGCTGACCGCAATTAATGCTATCGCGCTTTATTGCATTCTTCCGTGCTTGCACTGCGAGATAGAATCCGCCATTCGTGCCTTCATTACTTCGAGACACGAGGGAGAAGAAAGAAAGTGAGATGTTCATCGTAACGGGAGCATATGGCGCATCTAGGAATTCCATTCTTCGAAGGTCTTTCGAGTATGACGTCTCAACTATTTCCTCGAATATGGTTGCTTTCTTTTTCTGGATTCTATTATACGTCCTCATAAAGACCGTACACTTTCTTCTCGTGGTTTCTCCCCATATTACTTTACCTTTTATTAATAACTCGAGAGGTGGCAAATTCCAGAGTCGTGGGGGAGAGTCATCTATCCGATCGGCCGAGAGGCTCGAAACTCCCGAATATTTAAAGTCAGGATCTTTTATCAGTTCTCACGATTCGGAACCAAACACAGCACTCACTAATGCTCTTTATACTTATTTTTACTGTGTATTATGATGCATATCAGTTTATGATGAAAGTGCTGTATGTATTTCCGATGCATTTTAATGCTTGGATTGGGCCATTAAATCACTCGGTTCATATTAATTTTCTGATCTAAAACATTATGATTGCAAGTGGCAACTTCTGCTTCCCTTTCATAGAATGGTGGATCTGGATACGGCGGACAGTCTAGATCCTACGTTGCACCACCGGTTACGTACAGCCGACCCTCTTATACTGTCGTCAAAGAAGTAGATGACGACAGTGCTGAATTGTGAGTTACAACGCTTGAATGAAGGCTAATACATATCTGTTGGCATGAATAAGATATCGAATGTGAAACACGATAGAGCATACGGGATTCCGTCGGTGTCGGTGACTTATGGGGCTCCCACCCATTCTTATTCCTATGGGGGCCACAATGCTGGGCATGGCTCCTCTGGGTGAGTTTTCTCAATTGGCTCCAAATTATTGCATTTCTTCAAATTTTCATCAAATAGAGCGAGTTTTAAGACATGATTCGCATTTTTGGCATTTTTCTTTAGGTCCTATAGCAGTTCCTATAGGTCAAGAAGTAGCTCAAAGCTAGCCTCTAACAAGGACTCTAGCAGCTACTCCAGGTGCGAAGTGCCATCCAACTTTTTTCAGCCATTTTAATATCTCATATCTCATATTTCAAGTTCTTGCTTTATGGCCCATTATTTTCTTTGATCTTTAATTTCTCTTTCTCGTAATAGCTTTAACATAATCGCTTCGCTCATGCTATTCTTTTAGAGTGACGTACCAACCGGCACGGACCTACACCTATGTGCCCCAGCCGAGTTACACGTTACCGGCCGAGACATATACTTCCTACAGAAGCCAAAGTGGTATGTCTCGAACTTTATTTAACGATGCACCATAAAATTGTTCCCTTGGTTAGGAAGGTTCATTTTGAATGCCAGGGTTGAAAAGAAAGAGCAAGAATCGGTACCAAAGCAGTGCCCGAAGCTATTCTACCGTCAAGTCTCATTCCTATGGTGGAGGACAGACCAGCTACGGAGGACACGGTGCTGCTGGAGGCCTCTCCTATTCTAAGGTATAGTCGATGAGACGATGCACTTCGTTCTAGTCCAATTGGAAGATGCCAACGATCGTAATCAAGACGCTGACGATATTCAGTATCCACCGACAATTCAGGCACTGAGAATAATAAGACGCTGATTATTGCAGCAATTACAATTGCAAAGACAACTAATAGCGTCGTTGCCAGAGATAGTGAAAGTGACACCATGGTAGAAGTAAGCACACGGTGGCATTATTGTAAGATAACGACGGACTACGATGAAATCATCGCAAGCATATTAATGAAAATGTACTGTTGTCATGAGGATGTTGTCAGGTGATCCACATAGAAATTGGGACTCCTCACGGCCCCTAATACGCACTTTCGTGACTTCCCACACGGTTTCTTTCGGATATCGCACTCTTGCAGCAAAATGGGAAGAAAAAGGGTTGAGACTTCATTTTCTTTTGTCATCTGATCTGATAAACGGGAGTCACCAAGTTTCACGATCAAGTGTTTATCTTTGAGCGTCCAGAATATTGTGACCTTTCGAATAAAATAAACCGCATCGAAAAATCTTCATTCCATCTGGAAAAGAATGGTTTCGAGGCCGTGACATCAACTAAATTTCAACAAAAATCAACTAAAAATAAGACAAACATAATTTGAGACACTTCTAGGTATCGTTAAGCATAAAATGTTATCAATCAAAGAGCAGAAATGGTATCTGATGCATTTTCGAAAATTGGAGAAAATAAAAATTTTTACAATAAATTTTATTTTCTGGTTTTGTCAAGAAACTTAGGACCACGATATTCTTGGCTTACTTACTCGCGATATCCTTTTCTTGGCACTGATGGCAATTTAAGGGTTGCAAGAGTCCACTGTGATTTTCTTCACTGGCAGCAGGAAATACGTGGTATAGGTCTAGCAATCTCTCTTTACCATGCCTTTAAGCTCAACTAAATTATTTTATGAACGAGTGGAATTCTTGTGGAATACGGCCCTTTGCAATGAAGAATGAGTCGTGGAAGGCTAGGATGCAATGTGGACCTCGTGTAAGGATCTGTAATTTAAAAATTCCGACCGACATTGCACGTAGGTGGAGACACACTTAGGAGGAGGAAGCGGTTACGACCTGAATCGACACCAACAGGTGTACCACAGGCGGCAGAAACCCGTCTATCGACCCGCGATCCGATACACCGCTCCCAAAGTCTATTCTTCCGTACGTCTATTTCCCCGTCCCTCCTGATCCTCTTATTTTTTGTTCTGCGACAACGCCGATGTTCTATAATGATTACATTTTTAATCGCAGGTCGGGTACGACGGAGGCGACAGCTACAGCCACGTGTCATACAGTGAGTTTCCACTTTCTTCCTTAAAAAAGAAAAGGATTCCGATCTGATGACTCGCAAAACTCGTCCTTCAGATCCTTATGGAGGGTACGGTACATTCGGCGATCACCATGGCGGAGCCGGTGGTGGCGGTGACGATAGCGGCGATAACGACAGCGGCGATAGCGACAGCGACGAGAGTGACAGCAACGAGAGCGGTGATGACAGCGGCAGCGGCGAGGGCGACGGTGGTGACGGTGGCGACGGTGGTGACGGTGGTGACGGTGGTAGCGGCGGACACCTTCGAACCTACGGACCCCCGGCAAAATCTACCTATGCTTTCGTCTATCAGTCTCGAAATGACGAAAGTGAGTATGGATCTCGACGCGTTACCTCAATTCAAGAATTACAAAGGATTTCGGATCATTCCGAAATCCATCTAAAGATAAACTTCTATATGTGACAGGTAAATGTAAACCATTTTTAAGGAAATCAACATTTTAATTTCTCGAATTTCGTCATCTCAGCCCATATTTCTATTTTTGGGCATAGTAACTAAAGCCGTATTCCTTGGTCTTTCGTTTAAAAATGAACTCCGTAGGGGTGAAAATCTCTCAGGTTACAGTTTTCATGCTTCTATCCTTACCTATCGGAAATGGATTTCGGAGCAGAGTCGTCTGCTGGTGATGACGTCATGGTGGGCTAGCCAGCGTCATGGGACTCGAGCATGTCCTCTACGCGGCTCAGTTCCCTCGAGGAAGTACTGTATAGCATGGCATTATCGTCGGTTAGTAGAGCAAAACCTGATTGTTCTGTCGCCGTTTCCCGCATTGCGATGGACGTCATGTTATTCCTCCCATTGCGATGGAATCTGAAAGCCTGTCGGAAGGATCGGTACCCACATCGACCTAACCGTGACGGCATTAACCAAGCCGACGGAAACCGACTGGATGAACTCGACTCCTCTCCCGAATGCGGCTAAGTACGTTCGATTCGTGCTGTCCCCGCCGGATCCACAGAAATAGTTATTTAAGCCGCATTCTTCCCCGGGGATCTCCCCTGTCTATCGGCTTGTCGGTTTTGTGAATCTTAATACAGGTTGTCCCAAAAGTCCCTATATTTTTTTTTTAGAAATACGGCTCGGGTGTTTATTTATTTTTTTTTTATAAGCACCGAGTACGTATGCTAAAATTAACAACTCGACATATTAAGCTCGTATTTCCTGTCGGTATCGTGGGACGATCCCCACGTTTCTCTCGTGTTGCGGAAGACGTCGCCGAACGATGGAGGGGTAAAGTGGTGAACTGCGTTCGGAATGTGGTTTTTCACGAACTCCATCTTGTCATCTGGGTCGACGAGGTTTCTGAAACGGCCCCATGCAAAAGAAAACAAAAAACCAGCAAAAAAAAGACTCGGAGAGAGACGAGAAGAGATGGTCGTTACGAGACCTGCTTCCGCCCTGACTCCTTCAGATGGTCACAGACGATCACGGCAAAATGAGGAGATGAGGCATCCTTTTCCATCTTTACGAAGTGGATTCAGGAATACGCGTTCCAGAAATGAGAAACTCCGTGATTGGACTTTCTCTCCTCGGACCTCGAGATCACAGCTTTAATCCTATCTTCCGGGATAGGCAATTCTTTTCGGACGATGGAAAATGCTCTACCTTTGATGACTGGGGCCTATATTTTGTCGCACACCCACGAATCGAGAAAAAGAACGTTGGAGACACCGTAAGAGACTTTTTAGTGATTTGTGGAACACCCTCCCTCTATTGCCTAACGATGAAGAAACTGGTCTCCACTTTGTTTTCTCTTAATGAAGCATGTCAAGATACGGTCCATAAAAAAAAATAAATCAAGAACGTCTGTTTGAATCTCACTTTTAGTTTAGGCCTAACAAGCCGATCGACTTTCGATAATGATGTAAGAATGAATCACCTCACTTGTTGTAGACAAACATCGAACATACGGAGGCTACCGAGTGAAGGCCGGAGGGAAAGGAGATGGAGAGGGACAGGGAGGCGGAGACGGAGGCGATAGTGGCGATGACAGTGGCGATGACAGTGGCGATGACGATAGTGGCGAAGCCGATGGTGGGGACGGTGGAGACGGCGGAGACGGTGGCGACGGTGGCGACGGTGGCGATGGTGGCTACAGAAAACCGGCGTCGCATCTGACGTACAACGTCCGCCACGACGGTTCGTTCCTTTCTGAAAGTCTTCACTCTACCGATAGGTAAATGGAGGGAATTCGTGGACTGCACCAGACGCTCGCAAAGATCCCGAAGATGGAGACAAAGGGCGACATGCACCAGATTCCTTTAACTTTAAACTGATTCGATCCATTGAGGGCAATTGGGATGCTTACAATGCATCAACTTGATGCCTGCATCAGCCTGATGCATGAAACTGACACACGTAACCCGATTAGCCTACATCGATGAAACACCAGAAGCTAATTGATATAGTCAGTTTCATTTATCCCTACATCGTAAAAGAGGTACGGAATGATCGAAACGGAAAGAGTGCCGTTCTTCTCGTGTAAGTACCGTACGTGTGTGTACATTTGCGCATAGGGATGGTTCCATTCGGGACTTCGGTTCGGTACTGTGAAATGCATTCGATGGAATCGGACATCCCGTACCGGCTCGGGAGAAATGGCTCGTCTGCGATGGACCAGAAGAGATGGTGTTTCCGTTGAGATTGTGCTTCCATTCGTAATGGTGTGGCCCGTTTAAAATCTGTAACGGTTAAGAACCCATCGCTTACCCATTACCTGCCAAAGAAGTCACTGGACCGATTCCGATACTTTGAAGATTAAAACAAAAGTTTCAGGTACAAAACAGGTGCTATGTATATGCTATAGTAACAGACGAGACGCGTGAGGAAACAGTCGGGTGCGGTGGAGATAAATCACCAGGAGAGTAGATGCAAACAATGCTCGTTGCAGTAACCTTTCGCACGACGTCCCGAAATTGATAAGCGCGAACAGTAATCATTCAAGGAAAAGGAAATAAAGGATTCTATCTCGCCCTAAATATTTTATCTTCCATTGTGTTCACGGAAATGTGACGAAACGCCAGTTGATTCCCGGCAGTACGAGTGATTAAAAATTGAATGGACCGTGGACCGTGTAGGCGGGGCGAAAACAGGGTACGGTCGAAACGATGGAGGAGCTGATGGGGGTGATGGTGGCGACGGCGGTGATGGCGGTGGCGATGGCGGCGACAGCTCCGGTGGCGACAGCGATGACAGTAGCGATAGCGATGAAGATGACGACAGCGGTGAGGGCGACGGCGGCGAAGGCGATGGCGGCGCTGGTGGCTACGGATCTGGACAATCTTATGCTAAGATCTATTACGCTGCTGTTAGTTTGGAATCCACATTGAAAATCGCTCAAAATTCTACTTTTAACAGCATTTTAAACTTGTCCTCCTCTCTCTAAATAATAGGACCTTATGGGAGACTATAAGGTGATCGAAGACAGGTACCAAAATTTTGCTTCGCACGGACCCCCATCGTACGGAAATATCGGCAGCCACGGATTCGCCAGAATTCGCAAAGGAGGGCGCAAGGGTGGCGATTCCGATGGCACTTCGGCCCGAACGAGCGTCGATGCAGGGGGGGCCAACACGGATGGCTCGAGTGGAGCCGATGCTGCCGAAATTGCCCAGGGAGCTGCTGCCGATGCTGTCGAAGCCGCCCGGGAAGCTGCTACCGATGCAGCCGAAGCTGGCGCATCTGGAGCAGGTGCCGGCGGCTCGGGTGGCGGTGTAGCAGATGCCGGCGGCTCTGGTGGCGGTGGAGCGGGTGCCGGCGGCTCGGGTGGCGGTGGAGCGAGTGCCGGCGGCTCGGGTGGCGGTGGAGCGAGTGCCGGCGGCTCGGGTGGCGGTGGAGCAGGTGCCGGCGGCTCGGGTGGCGGTGGAGCGGGTGTCGGCAGCTCGGGCTTTGGTGAAAGCCTCATGCAGAGAGTGATGAGAGTTCCACTGGTTGGGATGGGAGCAACAGCAGAAGGGAAAGCAGAAGTCACAGCAAACGGTGGAATGGATCTGCTCATTCTCCTCATGCCACCTGGCGCCGGTAAGTGCCTTTCTTGCGGACAGATTAATGATCTTTGGAGATGTGCACGATGCCTGGAACGGCTCGAACCGCATCCTTCGCTATTTTAACGTTTTCCGTCCCCGTGATGACAGTTCCAAAGTCGGGAACATCCGTTGCGGGGGCATCGGGCGGGAACAACCAAGTCGTCACGATAGCGGACGAGAAGCCAGGATCCAATAACACGTCGACCAACACCAGCAGCGATCCCAATAGCTCAAACTCCAGTTCCAACAGATCCGTGAATTTGGACGACTTTGGGTCTAATAGGAGTTCCTCGATGCTGCAGGCGATTTTGGGCAACCCAGCATTGGTGGCTCGACTCAATGCCATGGCGCAAGCCCAAAGCAATCCCTGAGCGACATTATTATACATATATATATATATATTTTTTTTACCTTAAGACGTGATATTTTTTCTGGTACATCTGAAAAATTTTTGACCTTATTTATTGACCCACTCCGACATCCAAATTCGCATGTAACTTTCCGACAATAAAGTCCATTTGAGCATAAGGAGGGAAAATATTTGACAGTGGGAAGATCGTGACGCAACCCTTGGTCTTAATTAAGGTCAAGCAGCTTGTTTGCGTCATGGAGGAAAAGTCTTAGAGATCGATATGCGATCGTTGTGGAGAAAACCTGTCGAACTTGACAGGTAAGGGAGTGGAAAAGGGTATTGGAAAAGATTGCGTCACTTCACCCTGTATCCCACACGATAACGGAGTCATTATCCGTTTCATCGTTATTGCGCCTTTGGTTCCACGATCGAGAAATGCCGATATGCGATTACCGGTCGGCAGATTGCAGTAATCGAGAATCGAGTTTTTTTCAGGTCAATCGTATGCGGAAACGAGAAAAAAATAGCTTCTCAAAGTTGAACGTAGTTCCCGATTGGAAAACCGCATAAGATTCTTTGAACCACGTGGACTCGGTTTCTCGGGAAATCCCGTCTCGAGCTCCATATTTAAGGATAAGAATTGCTGTTGCATCGCGTCTTCAACTCCACTCACGAACATCATCGATTCGTGGCAACCTCTCGTTAGGCCTAACGTTCTGGACGATGCTCTGTGAGGAAAAAAAAAAAGACAGTTCCTCAAGTCACACCTGGACCGATTCATCACAATTGGCTCCCGAGGGGAAAGCAGTCTGCGAAACACGAAGAAAAGCCAACCTTTTGCATCTTCACATCGTCAGTCATGAATATCTATCCCTGGTACCGTTTTTAAGATAGAGGCATGCCACCGTCGTCAATCATTATATTTGTTACCAATGCATTGGTAAAAAAAATATTACAGTACCGTCCTCAGCCATCTGCAGAACAATTACTTTTGAAAGACTATTCCATTACATTTCTTTAAAATGAACCTTAAGGTAACTCGAGGAAATATGAGCATTTTAACTGCGTTTAGAGTAGGATATGAAACATTTCATGAACGGAAAAACCACAATTTCGGAATTGCAAGAGAAACTCATTCTCGAAGAAGCGTGCATGCTGGAAAATGACAAGATGAACCCTTCCACCTGCACATATTCCCCCGACTGTTCGGGATAAAACAGTTCATAAGGGAAAACAGTATTTAAAAAAAGAGTTTTTTTTTTTACTGTACAAAAACAACTTGCAATGCAAGTGAGCTCCCGAACATTAAATCGAACGATTCGAATGAAAACTATGCCTGTTGTGTTCACCAGAGAGAAAATACAAAAAAGTCCAAGAGGAATTCATTGTCCCGGCATATTAAACAATCCTGCTCGGCGGTCTCAGCATATTTCTCATGGAACAATGTGAAACAGCCCTTTGCATGTTTTCTAAGTGGCATATTTGCCTATCGGAATGCTTCTAAAGCTTTCCTTGCGCCTGACTAACGAATAAATAGTAAAAATTGGAATGCCCTTACTTCCCCTCATGGCACTGTCAATTTTATTTGGGAATCATGAAAGTACCAACGCCATAGTCAAGTCGATCGCACTGGTATCGATCGGTACGGACATCTCATTAAATACAAATTCGCGTGATGGATTTGATAATCGACAAAAGTTGATGTCAAACCATAGTCACCATGAAGTAAATTGTCTCGTACATGATAGTGTGATCTGTTCAATGAACTGAAATGCAACAATAGGTCGCTTGAGGATGTAATTGTTGTGATGCATTGAAATATGAAGAGAAATTGTGAGTTCGGGACAACTGCCTCTTCCATGAAGAGTCATTCCCCACAGTTTAGATTCTGAGGCTCTTCGTTTCAGATTCTGACGTGTTCTGCATGGTATTGGATTCCATCCATCTTTTCTTACTGCAGTAAAATGTAATTTTTTTTTAGCTGAATGAATTTAAAACAGTGGTACCTTCAGTGTAGCAAATGTTGCGGCGAAATATCGGAGATATGCCAAATCTGGAGTCAAAATGGAGTTAAACTCTGCATTCCGCGCTATTTTTTTTTTTTTGCTACCATGCTAGGGTCCAGTTTCAGTATCTGAATATCTGCATTTTTTTTATTTACCAAAAACCTCAAACGAACCCACTGCACTTTCTTTTCCTGGATCAGCGTAACAAACACAACGATTTTAGGTTAACGTCCCTCGTCTACCCATCCTGTCTTCGGGAGTAAAATGCCAAATTTTAGTTCCTATGATTCTAAGATGCAGGGCAAGGAAAAAGTGACACACAGTCATCAGGGTAAGTTGCCACTAAAGGTCACTTTATTTAACGTGATGCATTCCATGCAGTGACAAAGAATGAAAAGAAGAATTCAGGGGGAGCAAAACTCGAAGAAATCCAGGAAGTGCAGTAGCAGAAATTGATGATTCCCGTTCTCGTAATCCTCGACGGCAACGAGAAGGATCATGGAAGTGGGGAAAAGCATTCCATCATCAAACGATAGACATACGATACGTGCACGACAGGGACGACCTGCCAGCATGGCAAGGACTTGATTCGCATCCAGGGACCCCTGGATTGAGATGCACGAGACCCGTAGTTCGCGCATGTTCCGATAGACGTAGCCCTTCTCGAATTTAACGAAAGCCGTTCCTAGCTCGCGGTGGAGCACGGCTTTCTATGAGTTCATAACCGGGAAGTGTAAGCTACCTGACGTGGTTCCTAGCCTTCGAAAAGGCATAATCGGACTGGAATATTCTTTTAAAAGAAACGAAGGAAACAGATCCGAAATGCTCCTGCAGTGTTTGCCACGATCGTGATGGTTTTTGCCATTTGATTCTCGTTTCTCGTCTGTTAAAATTCGATGAAGATGAGACGCGTTTTTTCTTTCCGAATTCCTCAAGTGCTCCTCTCATCGTATTCCGAACTGCGACCTTGCTTCGCTCTTCGAGTCTCTTCGGTCGCTCATGCCGGCCCTTCCTCATCGAAATCCACTCGAAATATGCAGGAAACACGTGCACTGTATATCGACCGAAGGACACACCCCGAGGTCAGTTTCAACACTCATTAACACGTTGACCGCTAAGGGGATTCGCCATAGGGAAGGACCACTGTTCTTCTCGATGACGAATGTGACACACCGGCGTGTCACGTAGCGATCAACGTGTTACACATGTCAGGTTTACGGAAGTCTCCCATGCTTCCTCAAGGTCTATATGCAACGGCGCCAAAAAGAAAACCAGAGAAAAGTTCCTCGATCGTCACGAGAGCCGATCGCTTTTACCTTCATTCAGAAAATGTCGGATGCAGTCGTTAGTAAGAGAAGTGATCGAGCCAGAGTCTCTTCCGATGGAAATTCGTAGAGAAACGCCGAGGGAAGAGACGATGTTCCAGTTGAGAATAAATGGTTAGTAAGTGTTTCCCGGGGCGAAGAAGTTATTGAAAGCTGAATTTCGAGTCGCCTTAAGGCGACAATTTTTCCAGACCCACAGGATACGGGTACGAAGGCTGGACGAGCCTCACCGCATACCGAACAATCCCATTCCGACTCCTTTTCCTGCATTTTATCGCTTCAGTAAGCAGCATATAATCAAATTCTGATTCTCTGCCTCCACAATATTCAGATACCGTTCGGATTTCTTTCTCGAAACAGTGATGGCTCATGGCGGCTTTGGAGCCTGTGGAAGGAGATGGGATGGGTTATGCCGAGTAACGCTGGGTAACGCTGGGCAATGCTGAGTAATGCTGGGTCGGTAGAGAAGGCGAAACATGCATGTCTCTCAGCCAAAGACCCACATCTTTCAATTCTTTTCAAATTTCGAGTTTGCTTTGAGAAGTCTACTTTTGGCAAGAACATCAACAAATAGAATTCCAGTCCGTATCTTTTTCATGACGTCGATGATCGGACAAAAGGACGAATATGCAATTTCGAAACTCTTCGGGATGACTAGAATCTTTTTCCTTTTTTGGATCACAGAACGAGATTAAAGAAATGTCCGTTTTTGCCAAAAAAAAGCGAATTCCTGCTCTTCCATAGATTTTCAAATGTTCGCCTTTTTGTCAGATCGTCGGCGACGTCCGCAAAGGCATATCAAATATCAGTATGATCATAACGATATTTTTTTCATTACCATCGGGCAACGAAAATGGAAACATACCCAGACGGTTCCTCGAATGAAGAAGAGACGGACAGAATGGAATTTTAAGTGATCTCTTTCCGTTTCGAAGAGAAGGCCAAGAAAAAAAAAAAGATTCCAAGCAACATTTAGATGTGAAGCTGGAATGGATCGTCGTTTCGAAGGTCCATTCCGACTCCATTCCTGGCGTGCAAGAGAATACAATCCTCATTTGCAATTGATCTATAGACTCCAGCGTGGGTGAGATTTCATTTGGTCGACCTTGAAGGTGGCTGGTATGACTCTATTCCAAATTTCCGGTGAACGACTATGCCAAGAAGACGCAAAAAAAAAAGATGTAACGGTGGTAGAAAAGCCGATGATCCCCGCGATGCGCGAGGTTCCATTCCAGATTTTTTCATCTCACCCGGACGCAGCACGGATGCCACCGTCAACAAATCATTCCCAAGGACGATGCTCATGACGGTACGGGGTGTTTCCAAACTTCGAAGAGACCTGTCAGAACGCCGCGGCTTGCGCCGTTCGTAACAGCATCAAATACTCAAATGGAGACTGTTTTAATCGAATATCACGACATTGTTTTTGACAAATCTGATGAGAATATAGTTCTTAGAGAGTTAATTTAAATAATAATAAAAAATAGATATATTTTTTCATATTATATATATATTTTATTATTATTATTATTATTATATATATATTTCAACGCCTCAGACAGATGGTGGATACGAAAACTTGAGAACAAGACAGGGAACAGTATTTCAGGAAATCCCTGTGCGACCAAGTACAGGTATCATCCCATGGCCCATGAGGCGTCCACAGTCTCTCTTGTCAAAAGCTGTCGTAGGAGTCGTAACTGGTGAAAGATCCCGTCAAACTTAATAAAAGCCGTAAGCACTACTCGTTTTCTTCTACTTGACGTTGTAGCAATGTAAAATCTGCTGAAAATGAGAGTTTCTCGGTCAGAATGAAACTTCC